GAGTGACCGTTGTCTGCACCACTCAAGGCGATTATGTCCGTGTTCTCGAGTTCAAGGGAGGACCCAGTGTGGCCGGTATGAAAACAAGCCAAAACTTCTCATTCGTCGGTAAACACTTCGCATGCCAATAGGTCTTCCGTGTTCTGCAAACCATTCATTTGCAATGGACCTGGTAGTGGAGAAACGGTCGCTTAAGGCCAATAATCTTAGGCGGCGATCTTCACATTTGTTGTTCTACGGCGGCGTCCAGTGCCCCTTGCTCTTTGCGTACGGCCTTCTCGAAGCCATGCCTGACAACACCTCACCACAGTGTCTACACTTCTTTGCACTCTAACTGCAATTGCCCAAAAAGAAAGTCAGCTTCCCAAAGTCCCACTATACGGCCCTGTCAAACTCACTAAGTTGACGAAATCGTACAGGTCTCCGTACTCTAGGCATCGTAACCGATCGTAAAGGATGTCAAGAACCAAAATCCGCCAACGTTGATTCTTTACTGCGGCTGAAATATCATTATTTAGAGCATTAGTGAATAAAAAAAAAGCTAGTATAAAAACCGGATGTCCACACTGATAGGCTGAAAATTTTTTCACTTGTTATTACAGTAAGATAAATACATTCAGCAAATTTATTAAAATAAAACTATTTAAACGGAGGTGTTCGGACTTTATATGTCACTAGTATAATATCTACCATTTTCCATAAAACGTGTTTCTAACATGGCCTGTATAACCATCGCTAGTATGGACCTACGTATAGTCATTTCCCTTACCGTGGTCAGCTCAGGATCTGAACAAATCGCTAAAGCCAGTGTATCTATAATTAAACATTTTTCATTGTCAGCTTAAGACATACAATTAACAGTTACGTTTTTCTAGGTTACCGCCACCTGTGGAGAAGAGATACGGAATAATATACCTACTTTGTCAACCCACATTTTCCTGACCTGGATACAGGCGTGATATCCTGCCCCCTTACTGTTCATAAAATTGACGAAGAAATCGCTCAAATACGGTTAGAATTCATTCACTTCAGTTGGTGAGTATTTCTGATAGTTACAAAAACATAGAGCAACAAAATATCAACATCAACAACAACAAAGAACTAGAATCCCTTTTGACTATGCAAAACGGCATCAAGCGGTGAAATCAAGTGTGACACATTTGTATCATACCGACACAGGTCTTAAGTTTCACACTCTGTATTCATCAGATGCTGGTTTGTAGTTAAGAAGGTCTTAGCGCCGTTTCGTCAGTCGTTCCTACAATTGTAGGACGCTTTTACGGCCTCCGTTGGTCAGACCAGTATCGTCAAAATCTGTCAAAGTGGTATGCGTCCATGACTTGCACTTTTTGCGTACTATGCTATTGCAAATAAGCCTGGTGTCGTGTGCCCCTGACGGTGCGCTGTAGGTAGTCCGTTTAATTGCTACTGATATATACAATGTGTGAGACTTAAGCCAAACTCAATATGATACAAATGTGTCTGTCTTCCTTGCCTCCGCCCCTGACGCCATTTCATATTGTCAATATTTGTCTAATCCGACCTTTGCAACAGGTGGCTTAACCTGTCGATAAATCAATGATCCCAAATATTCTTTACACCTTATGACAGCGCTAAGGCCAATTCGTTAGGACAATTTCTACAATTAAGCAGTAGCATTTTTTAGAAAAATTTCTCTTTAATGACACTTATTTATATAAATTTCATGTAATTAATTGGATTTGGGGTCTAAAGGAATAAATACAGTTTCCTGTTACAAAGTTGCGGACATTTCGTAAAAATATATTTCCTTCTGCAAGGCTCCACTAAAAATTTGGAAGATCAACTTTACAGACACTGATCAACAATTTAAATAATAAGATCGATGAGAGATACTTATTTCAGCTACGACATTATATAAAATGAACTAAACAGAGACAACATGATTCATAATTTAGATATATATTCTAAACGAATTTGTTGATGATAAATATTATGTGGTGGTTTTTACTTCTTTTCATAAAATTAATGATCTTATAGTACTTTATACTTAAATCTGCTATGTCTGTTCTTCTATCAACTGCATTCTTGTGCTTTTTCATGTCCTGAAAAAATTATGTTTGGAGCAACGTTGCTGGATCTGCTAATTAAATTTTCTAGTAATAATTAATTGAATCGGTCGATCTTTTTGACCCTTGTTAATGAGAATCATAATGACATTTGAAAATAATCGCTCCGTTATATACTTGATGACAAAGAAAATAGAATGCCCAGAAAAAAATTATTATTATTAGTTTGTATTTTATATAGAATTACATATAGGCAAGAGAAAGTTGTGACAAAATTTTCGTTATTGTGATAGGTCACCCATATGCGTTCACATTCATCCAGTCGTCTGTGTATGCTTTTGAGTAGATGATCTATGTCTACTTGAGGTATCTCATCTTGAGCTAGCTAATACTTGAAGAGCTGCTACAGTTTATAGGGGATGGGGTGAAGAAGAACACTCTTTCTCCCATCGTATCATATCCATATTCAACAGGCGAAATGACTGAAGATCTAGGATACCAATGAAGGAAACCGTCTGAAACTGATATTCTTTGCTTTAGTTCTAGCAATATGGGGATGGACATTTTTTAATGAAGGAATTTATTTAAATACTAGTTATCATAAATTACAACTCAATACTTGACTAGCCGCAACTTTCTTCGAACGTCTCCTAGACAGTAAAGCCCGAAAATCCTCTTTCGGGCGACGATTGGAGGATCATAGTTTTTGGGAACAAAAGATATGTTGAGTTGTCGAAGTCAGTTTTGGGTGACTCTTGAGTAGAGGCATGATGCTAGGTCTAGCCAAACCATGATATGGTCATTAGCATGATGTTCGTGGGCAAACTAAAGCAACGTGGACAGGCAGTTATCAATGTAGCTCTGACTATTCAAAGCTTCACCTCTCACTCTTCCCGCAAAAGGTTGGGATACACCCTTGTTAGAAATTACACACCAGATAATGATTTATCTGCAAATTTTGCTTCGTGTTTGTACCTAACATTGTCAGGGCAGTCCTCTACGTTGACCATATAAAATCAGTCGTTTCCATCCATTTCATAACTACTCAAAGTGAAATACTTTCCGTCATCTAAAATAATGATTTTCCATTGGCAAAGTTTGCCCGCATCAGTTGACGACTGCATCTTGGCTTACGAAGGCGCTTGAGAATATTTGGGGTACTTAACTCTCTTGCGACATGTGAGACCATTTCACCTCAATTCGAACGATATCGTACTCTTAGAAGACCTGCATTGACGAGCCAGTCTCCTTGTTGACATTCCAGTCTGATTTTTTGCTCTTCTCATCAATCTCTCTGACCTCTAGACCTACAGACCTTTATCCCATTGAACATGATGTGTGAGATATGATGAGAGCAAAAGAGCTCTTTACAACATCATCCGCAAATGCTATAGTAGCTCTTGGGAACCAAGTGCAGCTAGCTTGAGATGAGGTACCTCGAAAAGGCATTAAGTACTTACTGAGAAACATGCCCCGATGACTAGACGAATATATGCGGTACCGATATAGAGGTAGCACAAAACATTATTAGGATAATCCGTCGATAGAGAAAATATTTTCACTTCAAAGTTTAATCACTTCCTCTTACTTATGTTTAACCTCATTCAAATCATGTTGTTCTACATTTTTTGTCACTAAGTATAATTTATCTTATAAATATTTTTAATAATATGACATTGACACCAGTTTTCACGAATTCGCATACATGTGTACAGTATCAAAAATAGATCTTACAACAAAGTCGGCTACCACACGTGGTGTGGAAGGAATAGTGGGTATCGCTATCAGAAAATAACGGATAGACATAATTGGAAGAATATATTACCATTTCTTCGAATGAAAGGCTTTAGAAGTCAGTTTTGAGAATTTGCAAATCTCATCATCTAGGCAATCTTTACTCAGAATCTTGAAATCCCTATTTTTGTCTATCTTTGAACTTTTCCAGCCTGGGTGGTGGGTAGCCCAGCTGTTTGCCATTACCTTGCTGAACTAGTATGGCGGAAAGTCCGACAGGTCTAGGGGAGACCGGGGCTAGTTGTCACAATTTTCAGTAATTCTTTTTTTATTATTAACTAATATGGTTTATTCTTTGGGAACACTATGTAAAATCGATAAGGCTGTATTTTAGATCATTAATAAAGTATGATATCATACTTTTAAACATATGTATTATTACAAAAAATGCTTATTAAACACCAAATCTTTATTTTTTTTAGAAAAAAGTAGAAGGTTTGTCATTACAATTAGATAATCTTTCGCAAATGAATAATTTTCTCTCTTTGCTTTACGATATGAATAATATTGGAGACCGGAGCTGGTTGTCACATGGGTTGGTTGTCACAATTGTTAAATCTCAGGAGCTCCGCAAGATGTAGTTGCCTGGCGCACTACACATCGTTTCTGCGTCCGCGCAGAACACTTGTATTCAGTACGAAAGTTGTAGATTAAGGTCGCACACACAAAAATAAACAAATCGCCTAACCTGAGTAATTTTTTCATTTGCCAAATAATTTGTGGTTTCAAGACTACATTTGATAATAAAAAGAACTGTTGAATTTATTTTCCTCTTCAATAATATATACGACTTAGCGTAAGTATTGACTTTGAATTTGTTAATTTAGTGACACTATCTAACCTTAATAATTAATTATCTAGTGGAGCAGGTTGTCTCAAATTAGCGGCGGCCTCTTGTCACATGGGACAACCAGCCCCCACACTAGGCGATTAGCTTTGCACATCATTCTACGTAGGTATATGTATATAATGTATTTTTTAAATATTTTCAGGTTAGATAAGCATGGTTCGAAAGAATTCAGTTAGGTATCTGTCGATACTGGAACCTTAATAAACCCTACATACATTTTGTAATTGAAACTCGTAAGGAAATCTGGAAGCAATTTATCTATTCAACAACATTCGAAGCTCTGAATCAAGAACCTGTTGAAGTATTCCAAACTCACAGAGCAGTGGAAGTTTTGTTCAAGAATTATTTCCTTTTTGTGGTGTTTGCAAACTTAGTCAACTCTTTTCTATAATTTTTTGTTGCAGATGCATTTTAAGAGCACGTAACTTCATTAGAATTTCTTCTCTCAACAGGGTCAACCAAATAGAAAAACTGGTGAATGTCAAGAGGACATATTTCTGATGAAAGCCGAGAATGCCTCAACTTTGAAAATATGCGGATACAACAGCGGGCAACACGGTAATATTATAATGTTTCATTAGTATATAATGAGGCCGTCGGAGGAATGAAATATGAGTTAATTTCGAGGGTAAACCTAAAATTACGAGTTCATGTTGTAAAAAAAACTCAAATATGACGCGGACATTATATTATCATTTATTTGTGGTTTCAAGTTTTTGAGCCTTTTACATATTTTCTTTCCTCATATATGTTCGCACCAGAGATCAAATGTTATGGACATTTTTATGACTCTTCGTGGAAACTCATCTTGCTTAATAGAAAATTAGGTAATGGCTTTGAAAGCTTTTTGAAACTAACTAATATAAATAATATTTTTACCTACTTGGTCGCACGTTGGAGGTATGCAATTGAGACATACTCGTAAGTTACATATTAATTTTTTTATATATTCCACACCAGAAAGAATGTATGACAAAAACTAAAGAAGTTGTGAAACACACACACAGATATTCATTTTTTTTTAAAGAAATAACGAATCATAGTTATCCGACATAAGTGTATCTACAGGGTGTCCGCAAAGTTGGGGTTTTCCTTTTCAGAAACAACTACCCTTGAAATAACAAAGGTAATGTGTAGTGAAACGAGGGCGACCAAGTAAAAAAAAAATAAAGGAAAAAGTACTCACTCTCCAGTTGACGAGAAGGGCTAAGTACGTCTCTGCCTGAAATCGAAAGTTATTCACCCCATTACGCGTGAACGTAGATTCGTCTGTCACCAATATGCACTTCAAAAAGTCCGGATTATTGTCATGTTAATGCAACAACCACTCACAAAACCGCACTCTTGCTGGAAAATCGTCAGGTTGGAGGGCTTGTACACGTTGGACGTTTGCCACACTTTAGTTTTTGATACTTGCACTTCTCTAGCCACGTCTCTAGTGCTTGTTGAGGGATTCTCGTCTACGCGATTCAGTAGTTCTTCCTCAACTTGCACCATTCGAGGTTGTCTAGGCCTCCCACTGTGCCCACCTCGAAATTCCTCCAAATGGCCCGTATCCCTGACTCTCTGGACCAGGTACACAAATCTGCGGGGCCTTGGATTATGTCGTCTAGGGAAACGATCTGCGTACACTCGCGACGATTCTGTATCATTTTGAAGACATTCGCCATAAATTAACAACATATCAACGAGTTCATTATTGGTGTATGGGTGTGCCATTATTATTTTTTTTTGAAACGCAATCGATTATACGGGTTCGTTACCTCTATACGCGTGACCCTTTACCGTCGGTTGAAGGTTGCATACTGACCTGACACACTGATCCCGACCCCCGACCCAGTTCTGTCGTCGGGTTCAGCTAGTAGCCGGTACCAGTCTGGGACATCGCGGCGGGTGGCGGCTACAGGACGGTATTCAGATATTTTTGTTGTTGCAGAGCCCTTTATCTCGGTTCCCTTAAGACATTGGTGTATATGGTACTAAGAAAAATTGCTTATGTTTTCAAGATCTACACGTCGTGTAAAGGAAAACCCCAACTTTGCGGGCACCCTGTATGTTATTTTGGAAAAGTATCAGCACCACTATTTGTTATAAATCACGTGGTTGATTTTCTCATGAGATTATAAAATACGTATAAACTATTTATTGTAACATTTGAAACTTATCCTGTAGTTGCCCCGCTGATAAATCTCAATATCTTGCTAGCCGCCAAATGAAACCAGAGATGTTCGATTGAAAGTTCACTAGCTTTTCGGACACATCGGTGGCTTTTTGTCAAGGTACATCAAAAATTGCAATGGCAGTGAACCTATGACAGATAACAGTTCTCTTGCATTTGACCCTACAGGAAAACAGAATTTCAGCTTTCCCCTTGAGTTTATGCAAAATTGATGTTTTTGTTTTTCGACTGAACTAGTGTGCGTTGGTGTAACATTTGAAACTTATCATGTGGCTTTCATACGTTGTCTATATACATGCAGTATAGCCCAATTGTTACTAGAATTTCTAATAATTCGGTGTTATGAACATACACTGTTTTATTTATTCACAGTATACTACGATGTGGAAAACGTTGATGAACCGATCAGAATCTCGATGAATTTAAGCAAAAAAGCGGTGAGTCGACTGTGGGAAATCAAAATAGTCCAGGTGCCCTTTTCACAAAGAGCTCCTGTCGGATGTTTGCAGTATTACCAGGGTAAGTACTGGGACCAAGCCTCACTGTTTGTCGACAGTGTAGGAACCAGAAACCTATTAAAAGATGCATTACTGGTCAAAAAACTTTTTTATGATAGGACTACATAAGCGGATACAAAAATTTTTCAGTTAGCAGTACCAATAGTAGCAGTACCATCTGAATTGTGTATGGGTGATACTTACTCTTTTTCAAAAGTCTCTATGCAGTAGAAGGACAAACCTCACATACATTCGCGATGGAGGAAGTAGACTGTTGGGGATTTACTATAATCTCACCAATTATTTGAACTTGCTTTTCTTCCGGGATGGTCGGATGACTTGGGGGCATTTTGTTGTTTACACTACCCCGTTAGATAGTTAGTTTAGATACAAGTTCGCTTAAATATACAGATAGGACAATTCGGGAAACGATCAATAAAAATCCTTACGTGTCGCACCATAAATAAAAGTCGCTTCGATTTTTTATTCCAATGGACGAGAATTGACCATTTTAAAAATAGTTCAAACAGTATCTGGCAGTAAAACCGAAAACTAAATAAGAATATTTTAACTGTACAATGATGTTTGTTTTCGTACTGATATTCTTGTCCCTGTCAACAAAAAATAACAAAACAAGTTTTTATCGCTGTTGCTGCGGATACGGCAGGGAATTTCAATTATTCGTAGAGATATGCATGTTAGTGGGCTTGTGTTCAAGTAATTATTAAATGTACCACCATTTTATAGTAGGTAAGGTATTGACTTTATATTCTAAGGTTATAAAGTACTCGTCAGGAGCTTTAAAATGATGTGCCACAAGACCCCAGTTTTCATATATTTCTTTCAAGATGGCCCCCAGCGGCCATCTTCACATTTTCATCTGTCAATTTTACTCTAAAATATGGTATCCACGCATCAATTTCATTACCTCAAGTTTTAATTATAACAATTAATTTTTTGAATTGATCCGTTCAAAAAATCAAAGGGGAGGGGACATTAAAGAAAAGCACTGTATATGCATCTAGGGCGTTAAGTGATTGAGGGTAGGTGGACAAATATGAAAGTAACTCAAGATTATCAATTTTCGTGGATGTCCGGAAAACATATAGCATTGACAATGCACATTCATCAAAATTACAAAATCTATACTCTTGATGTCGGAGGTCTTTCATATTTGTCTCAACCCTCAATTCCCACCTCAGGTTCATTTCAGTGAGGAAAAATACATGGAAAAATATACTGAGACCCCCAACACACACCACTTTTGTATTTTTGTGGAGCTGTATTATTAGTAATATTCAAAAACGGAAAAATGGGTCGCATGTCCCTTTCATCAACTGCTTGTTTGGGGCAGTATTCTAAATCCTTTCCGTCTGATTATTTCGTAGTGTGTATAGAGATGTCAAAAAAGCAATGTTTGTCAAAAAACGCATTTTTGTGTTAATTTCTTTTTTTCAGCTCTGAAATTATATATCATAATTCCACATTTAAAGTAGAATAGAATCTTTGATTTTTTTTAAACCTCATTTTGCAGCAAATTGGGTTTTCAAGAAAGGCAAAGGTTCTTTGAAGAGCGAAAGTAATAAGGAAGAAGTAATCACCGGCTCCATTCTTCCATTAAAGTGGAATATTCACCTTAAATTTTAGAGCTGTTTCGATTGAAAAAAATGCACAAAATGCATTTTTTGTCAACAAAAAGCTTGATATTATAGTTTTTCCTTCATCTCTATACACACCATGGAACAATTATTAAGAATACTTCTAAGGATAGGCTGTAGAAAAAAGGAATCTGCGACTTTAATAGCAGTGGCATTTCTGTGCCCAACAAGCTAGAGAAGGTCCATATAAATGTGCACGTACATTATTTACGTTTGTAGGATTTTTTCATTATCATTATTTACTTAATAATGAAGATTTCTCGGGTAAATATCAACTATACACTACATGCAACAGAAACGTTTTGTATGATGCCAATATACAGAGTATCCACCGTTCGAGGACACAGTATTGTTTCTAAGCAAAAACTTTTCAAAAAACTATTTATGAGCTATTATACGAGGTTTGTTAAAAAAGTATCGCAAATTTTAAATTTTCGCGAGCTACGTAGGTTCGATTTTTGATCTTTTTATGGCGCTATGTTCGTACTCATGACCCTCACTAATGTTGACAATATCGGCCATTTTGAATGTTCAGTCAGCTTTTGACAGCTATTGTGCGTGGACGTGTTTTAGCTTGTCTCCGATTTTTGTCTATTCCAAAAAATGGATCAAATGATTTGTATTAAATTTTGTGTAAAAAAAAAGTGCGCGGACATACACTCCAGTAATGCCACACCCACTGTATTCCCCAGACTTGGCCCCCTATGACTTTTTTTGGTTCCCGAAACCGAAAAGGCCCATGAAAGGGTGACGCTACGTCACGATTGAGGAGCTAAAGACGGCGTCGAAGAACGAGCTGAACAAGATCACAAAAAATGAGTTTTCAAAATGCTTCGAGGATTGGAAAATACGTTATCACAAATGAATAATGTCTGATGGAGATTACTTTGAAGGGGACAAAATAGATATTCATGAATAAATAAATATTTCTTGAAAAAACTTGAAATTCGCGATACTTTTTGAACAAACCTCGTATATATGGTATCTGAGGACATTTCTAAAATATTGATGATTAATTCGACCCACATTAAAGTTGAGTTTTTTACACATTTCGATAGGTCATTTTAGAAGAAGAACGTTGATATAACATACTTATGGGTTTTGATTATTAGTCATTGAGCTAGCGTATTTTATATAATAAAACACCAAATTTTGGCAGCCTACATATATGTATGTGCTATCTTGACAGGTGGAGTAGTGACTTTTATGTAACATTTTTTTATGTCCAATTTTTAACTAATTTTTCCATTTCTTCAGTTTCTGAATGTTCATTACAGGATGATGATCAAAAATGCAAAACGAGTTTTTTCCTCAAAATAATTGAAAAGAGCACCCTGTGTATATTCAGAGAAGCTGGCAAACTTAGACACAATCTCACAAAAAAATGGTTCAATAATGATGCCTGAGTTTAAGGGTCAAACTATCTGGTTGCTATTCAATATAAAAATTGGAGGATATCATTGTTACGCGATTTAATAAAGACTATAACTGAAAACCTGGTCATATAAGACCCCTTGAATTGTACATCAGGAAAAAACTTGCAAAAAGTGGAATCCAAAAATGATGACATATGCCGAACAATTTTTTTGAGAAACAGCATAATTTGCGTTTTTGACCCCATGTATTGATCATTCGTATAAAAGGGTGAATTACTTTGGAAATGAATATAATAAAAATAATTTGACACAAAATTCACTCTACTCTTTCTATCAAGACAGCAGATATGCTGGCTGTGAAGCTTTGTTTGTTTTATTTAAATAAGATACCCAATAGCTCAACAATTAACAATCAAAGCTCTTAAAAATGTTATATCAATATTTTTCTTTTATCCGGGCTTATCCGTATGTGTAATGAAAGGTAAGGATTTCCACTTAAAAACTCAACTTCGGTTGAAATTGAGACATCCTGTATAATTGTAAATATTTTGTAAACGTGTCCCTACATTCCATAAATAATAATCTATGACTAGTTTCCCTTGAAATGTTAGGAGAGATACAAAACACTTTAAAATATGCACAAAGTTCATATAAACATGTGTCCGGAAATTCTCCCTTTGCTTGATACCGTGTTGTTTTTTAATGGGGATAAGCAGGTGGATGTAATATTTGATTAAATAATTTTATTTTATGAACGAACAACTGCATGGGCACTATTTAAGCAGAACCAATCTGGCTCTCCAAGACACTGATACAATTTATTTTCCAAAACCAATGGCATACAGCTTGTTGGCTAAGCATAGAATTTTGGCGGCAACAGTGCCGCTGATACAAGTGCTTTGGAAAATAATTTTGCCCATGTTAATGGAATGATTAATACTGCATGTGGGTATATCAATATATCTCCCAATATCCGAATGAAGGCGAACTACCAAAAACGGACAAATTTATGGAAATATGGAAACAATGTATTTCTGGAGCTATGTTGTGTTCTTATATTTTAACTTGCTGCTCTTCAATTGTCCTGACAAAATTCTGGTTACACTCAAAGATCGAAAAACTATGGAAAGTTGTTTTTCGCTTTTACCATGATTTTAAAAAATTTCAGTATTGTCACAGGCAATTTTTATGCACAAACGAATTGAAATATTGCATTTTAGCTTTTTACCATTGTTTCTATGATCTATCCAAATACAAAAATAGCGCTTCGAGTATAGAGCAGGCACCTCATATTTTTGATATAATTGATTTTCCGCATTCTAGGAAAAACAGGTGTCATCCAAACAATGAACTTCGCTGACAATGGGCGACATCTGACCAATCAGGACTACGAAGTATGCATACGCCAGGAAGATGGAGTATGCAACATCGTCTACGAGCCCTGTCATGAAAATGCGTTCCGCATTAGCCCAAACAACGGAGTGGACCATTCCACAGATGGAGATATTGGATCCGGGTTTGGAAGCATATCAGAAGGAAGAGAGATGGAAACGTGTGACGACAAGATCACGCTACCATGTGATTCCGATGACTTAATCATGGTAAGAAATGTACAACTGAAGAACTAAGAATTTATCGCTTCGAAAAGGTTCAAAAGTATTGATTTTTTTTTTGATTTTAGAAGTACTCCGGAGTCATTTTTCGTTTAACCCTAGAACCGCACGCTGGGGCACAAGTGAAGAAATAAATCGTTCGTTACTTATTTGCTAAAATTATTTATTTATAAGTTCCTAAACAATGAGCCTTAATAGTTGTCAAAGTGACTGAACTTGAAATTAAAAAACCTATGTACGTTGATTTTTATCAAAAGTGCAAATGACAGCTGTACCCGATGGCACTGTTAATTTTAACGGGTACGGTTCTGGAATGTACGCGGTAGGAAATGAACGAAAGAAGTGTATGGTATAGTGGTTAACTCAAGTCACTTTATCGGATAACACTGTCATTCGTGAGGAAGATTTAACTTAGAAACGACACCACCGCACTATTCCATTGTTTCTATTCAACAAACAATTCAAATTCTGATTCAATGGAAGTTTTGTAATCGTTAAAAATCAGGATATGCTGGGCACTCAGTAAAAATTTTAGTGGGCTCAAAAACGTTGCTACTAGACATCTCTCAGACGTCACTTCTAAGTGATGATTTTCAGAATGTTCAGGAACCTATAATATTCAAAATTTGGAAATGATATACATAAATATATAGTCAAACACCTTAAGCTACTAAAAAACAATTAAGTGTCAAATATTATTATGGATTGCCAAAAACACAAAAGCAAAATCACATGAGATCCTAAAAATAAGTTAAATTCAATATCCAACATCGGAATTATCAGAATACAAACCAGAGTCGTAGTTATTGTGCTCAACAACGGCGGGTTCAATAATAATATGTGAACATCCAGTAGCACATTAATTTTTTACCCTGAATATGTGTTGTTTGTCAGGCCTCGCTGGATTCGTTGTTCATTGGATTTTCTAACAACATCTCGACGCGCACTAACCGATTTTTTTTTTATTTTTTCTTGTTGTTTCGGTTTCATCTTGTGCCCATCAGATTCAATTCGCAATCGTAAGATGATAAAGTGTATGTTGACGAGTCATTTCACCTATAGCGTACAATTTTGCAGTCGACTTATTTTTCCTTGTAATATTAATGAGTTTAGGTCTAAGGGTGCAAGCTCCAACCAAGAGTATTCAAAACTTAATTAGTGTGTTGCTGAAAATATATGAAATTGGTTACTTTAGTTGTTTCATATACGAATTTAGTAGAACAATGTAGCCTCTGTGAAAATCGTATTCCATCATTTACTTAGAGAACCCATGAATTCGCTAATTTTACATATTTTCAGCAACATGTTAATTTAGTGTAACATCTGAAACTTATCCTGTGGTTTACATGTCGATAATCCTCATGCTTGTCTGGCCAATAAAACTACATACATATATTGACAGAATCTTCTTTACTGTAAACGTTTCAATCACAAAGATGATCTTCTTCAGTACAAAGACAATATATTTTATTTATAATGATAATAATCCGGCTTTATTTATACAATGGATAAAAAGACAAAGTGTCGCTCAAAAAAGCGTTTTTCAACTTAACCCAACAAATATTTAAGATAATACATATGTTGCCGAAGTGGCCGATCGGGTTTTTAAAAATGTTTATTATTACTTTACAAGACTGACTGCAATATAACTTGAAATATTATACAATGGATAAAATGTACATTACGACGGACAAACGAGGAATCTGCGGAAAGCATGAAGAACCTCTATTTATCATCTCCGGCTTGGATGCTTTCTTCAGCATTTTCTTCTTCCACGTGCATCCTTTTCTGCATCATAACTCCTCCCCACCTAGTCTGAAAACTGAATAGGAACGTTTTCTGTTTTCAGGAGGTTTTCTTCTTTTTGCATCTTTCTTGGGCCTCTCTTGACGGGTTGTTCAGTTTCGTAACTTTCGTCGTTTTGAGTGTCATCTATTTGATATAGTTGAAGACGTTCGTGTTTCTGGGTGGGCCGAAAACTTCTCGATTTGTTGGATAGCGTTTTTGAAAATTATTATTTCGGCTTTGGATGTTTATCGGCTGATTCTGGAAATTATTCCGGTTTCTGTAAGCTGGAAAGGTTTTCAGAGGTCGATAGCTTTGTTGAAAATTCGACTGATGAGGTGCCTGAAATTTTTGAGAATGAAAATTCTGATTTGGTGCCTGATTGCGATAATTGTTGTTTGAATTTCCAAACTTTTCCTGTGGTTTGAAATATGAATTTTGTGTATTACTACATGAAGTCTTTAAATGATTTGGGGATTTGAAAATGTTTTGCGTATACTGGAAATTTTCTTCTTCAATAATGTATTTCATTGCTGCTTCTAAAGACGCAGGATTTTTCAAACAAATAACCGCTTGTAAAGGTCCTGATAATCCGCGCACAAGAGCTTGCAAACAGATACCGTCGTACTGCTTCATCATTGCGACTCTTACTTCGGCTGTTGCGTCTGAAATACTCAATTTTTGGGCAAGAGTACTCCTTAAAATTTGGAGTCTTTTTTTAAAATCTAAGGGTGACTTACTTCTATATGGTCAGGCTAGAAAAATATCTTGTTCCAAGCATTCTAAACTTCTTTTATCACCAAAACACTGCTCTAAAGCATCTTTTATTAAAGGCCAGCTATTTAATTCTGTTCTACAGCCAACTAAAAGTTGAGCTCTACCAACTAATTTAGTCTGAATCACTCTCAATAAGTATCTCTTGATCGTTTCTTCAGAAGTGTTGAATGTGTCGAATAGATAATCGCATCAGCTTGGTAGTGTATTGAAATTACCATCAAAATTTGGTATTGTATCTACAAACATGCGTAACATCTGCAAGCTGTTTTCTGGGGATGCCATTTCTTCGGATTCTGATGCTCAATCAGGATTAGTAATTCTTAAGTTATTTAGCTTGCTGATAATGTCTAGTAATGACATAAAATCACAACTTTTCAAAATAAGATCTCCTATACAGGAAAATCAATTTGGGTGGAGCGAAAAGGAATTTTGGCTCTTACCTTCTACTCCTATCTTCTTGGAGGGAGAAGCAAGGGGCCAAGTTCTCGCTCTTGAGCAGTGGATTCTTCATTTGTTGCTGTAATTCGAACAAATGAGGAATCTGCGGAAAGCATGAAGAACCTCTGTTTATGATCTCGGGCTTGGATACTTTCCTACATTTTTTTCTTCCACGTGCGTCCTTTTCTGCATCATAACTTTTATGTAAGTCAGTCCCTACTTACTGGCCACGGTCTACTTACTGGGCGATAAAATCAGAGATAAAATGCTTCAATCGTTTTTCGAAATTCTTTATAGAGTAGTGAGTGAACTCGGTAAACAACGCGTTGTATAGCTTAATAGCAGTATATATGTACGATCTTTTAAATAGAGATGTTGAATCTCTCGGGATAACCAAGAGATGCTTATTCTTTGTATTCATTTTTGTACTTTTATGTTACAGATGGGTAATCAAGGAGTAGGTTACTGCAAGATGGTTCACTGTGGAAACAGCCTCTGTCCAAATGGAGAAACGCCATGTAGAATAGAAAGTAGTGCAACACCTTTTGTGATCGGTGTATATTTTGGACCAAGTGCCAGAGAAGAGTCACCCGAAGATAATTTAGGCATGTGCCTTACATATGAACAGCTGCCTTGTAGTATGTGAATACAAACAAGCCTTTTAGATTCAGTTGTAGAACAAAAAGTGCCGAAAAAAATAAAAGTATTTTTAGTAATTAACACCTTCTTATTAAATAAAAATTAGAAATGACGTATAACACTAAACTAAATGCATATTTTCACCAAACAACAGACTACAAAGTAGAATGTTAGATAAACAAAGAGGTCATACACCTTACGGAATTTTCTAAACCTAGCACATTGGTTTACGCAATACAGAATATTCTTTCTTATGGGATAGTCAGTCTAACTAGTTCACACCAAGGAATTAGGACTCATAGACCAGGGTAATAGCGGTTTCGTCAGCACACTTACAGAGATGCAAACGAATGGTCCTTTCAGATGGTATGGGTTTTTTTTTAAACTGAGCGTCATTTCTCAAGTGTTGGAACAACCTTCTAGGCAAAACTAGATTTTTTTAAGTAGTCTTGTGGAAAAAGCGCCTACTCATGTTGAATATCGAATGAGTCTACAGCTCTCAACGTAGAATTGGATTTACTCGTACCATCGACCTAGCTACATTAATATTCTGTCAAATACGGTGCACGCCACTAGAACGTTCATCTTTAACTAATCGTAGTACTTCGTCTTCAGCATCTACGTCGATCCTTAGCCATTCTATACTTCCTTACGTCCCGGTCAGACCAGGTTTGTCTGTCCACTTTTTTCTATAGGTTTAGACCGATAGACAGGCGGAAATGAGTGACTTCGTTTCTTGTGAAGTATGTACGTCAAAAAAATATCCAACTTTACTTTACTCAACGATACGACCCGCATGAATTGTTGGTTGCAGAAAGCCAAGTAGTGTTTATCTCTCAGAAGTTGTGAATGAAGGAAAGTTGCTTGAGTAGCAAGATCGCATCTGCATGGTTGTATGGTGATTGTGTGAATTGTTATATATGTGTATGTGAGAAAAATTATTACTGAATATGCTGCCCATCATCTATTAGCTGTGGCAAACGGGTTATTTATATGTTGTCCTTTCAGAAGACAGGTTATGTTTAAAGTTATAAATTAATATTTTTTCCGTTTTCTATGTTTTCAAATACTTTGAGAATTACGGGAAATCACTACCGCGCCCACGTTGTGTGTAATTACTGTTAGCATGTATAGGACCTTTAATTCTACAGTGTACTTGCAATATGTGGCAGTATGTAAGTATAAAATACAATATTCCACATATAATAATAATAATAATAATAATAATATTTATTTACTCAATGTACAAAGATAACAAACAATATGAGTAAATAAATATAAAATCAAAACAGGCCCAATAGAAGGCATCGCCTGTACATGGACCAATAATTTAAGTTGAAACTGTAGAATGCAAATGACAAAAAAGGACAAAAATTAGCTACAGTAGATTATGTATTTAGTTGATGTTCGTATTTATGAGTTTATGATTTCAGTCCTAGATATAGAATGTAGCCACTTTTTTAAATTTCTTTTGAAACAATTTCCGAAACGTAAATCTTTTAAGTCTTTAGGTATAATTTCATAAAATTTAGGCGCTAAATAGAGATATGATCGCTGCATTATAGATTTATGCGGTTGAGGAACTACTGTGCCACGAATTTTGTACCTGGTATTATAATCGACTATATTAAGCGGTGATCGATTGTTTTAAGGAAGAGGTCACGTGACGTTAGAAATTTTGGGCGGGCGACGTCGACGCGGTTTTTTCGGTTTTTTCCCGGTTCGCGAAACGTTCGGAAGGAAGGAGGTACCGTTTCGGAAACTAGAAACTCGGCGCTTTACGGGCGGGCGAGAGCCGTCGCGGCGAGAGGAACGGATCGGATCGAAAACGGCCGGTAAAGTCGAAAAATCTACCGTTTTCCGGACGGTACGCGGCGTTATTTCACACTCGTTTCGCCGTTTATCGAAATATCGACTCGAGATCGGTCTCGTTCGATAGCTAAACGAGAAATACGTACCAATAAGCTAAATCTGTTCGGTTCCGCGTCTCGGTTTTTTTTCTAGAAATGTTCGAAAAAAAAGCGACAAAAATGACGAATCGCCTTGAAAACTACGATATCTCCCTTATGCCGAAGAGAAAAGGAATTTCGCGTGCCGCGTTTCGTACATCTCGGCGAGCGCTACAAATTACGCGGAGAGACGTTTTTTCGTTTACGGTACCCGTTTCGAGTAAACGAATCTCGAACGTCGTCAAGAATGACTTTTTTGCGTATAAAGCGCGCTGCTTCGCCGTATATCAGCTATCTCCTCCGAAGATAAAGGAGCTACGAACCTGACGATTTTTGCGTGAGAAAGTCCATGCTTCGGACACTCTTTTAATACTATTTTCATCATTATTATTCGTTTACGTTGAAAAGTTTCGATTTTTTAAAAATTCCTCGACAACACGCTACTTTTCGACGCGTGAAAAAGTCACCTTGTCATCCGGCTCTGTCCTCGCTTATTACTACCGTACGTGAGCGAGTAAAAATTATACAGCTATCGAAAAATAACGATAATGAGCTGACGAAACGATTCTGACCGTCAGAATTACCGTCAAATTTCGAGAAAGTAAACTTTGAGCGCCTCAAAAGTACCGATGACAACCGTTTTTCGGCGTACTTTGTCTTCGTCGATACGCACCTGCGTTACGGAGCGACGTAGCTACGTTTTTTTTTCGCAAAACGAAAGACCAAAGTCTCCTGATTAAACCGACATACTACACGTTACCCGATCGCATTTTTTAAACTCGGCAGATTACAAAATTCAAAGATATGCAGATATTTTTAGTTTGACGTTTCAATTTTGAATTTCCCCTCCAGATCCCCGGATTCCTGTTAGGCGGGGTATTGTAGACACGATCGTATTACGAAAGCGAGCGCGTGCAAGCGGAACGTCAAAAACGTGCCATTTTCGGCTTTATGTTGGTCGCTTCATCGAATATAGGATCACGCCGAATACCATTGTCCTTTTTTACGCGTGAAAATAAACATTTCCGAAAGGATTCAAAATTTCTATATTCTATAGTACAAACGGTACCGGACTATACCCTTATTCGTTATAACAATCGAGTAGGTTTCGGTGTTTACCGACAGATTGCGATGATTACCGATAGATTCCGATGTTTACTGACAGATTGTGCAATTATTCTTTCACGTTTAGCAGTTCATCAGCTTAAATACGATAAATATGATTGAAAGACGTTATTAATGCCAAAGATCAATTCCTGAAGAGAGCAGAAATCCACAACATAGCAAGACTTTGTACTTATAACAGTGTGTGTATTGTGTAGTGATACCCGGTGCCGAGTGTTTACACTTTTTCGGTTCAGACGAAGTGCCTCAGTGTATATCTATCGTGATAACGTATTTCATCTTTTAAGAAGATCGTGAGGTATCCTTATTAATCGTCAGCAGATTTAAATAAGGTAAAAATAATTTTTATTCCTGTCAAATCATAAAACATTTACACTGAAGATAGAAGGTGCTATCCTTAGACGAACACGGTTGAGATATGTCAAGTGTCAAGCGCCATTTTTTGTAAGTGCGGTAGCTAGACATGCGACGTTGCCGGATCCTCACATAAATCGGAGTTTGTCATACAATTTTATAGAGGGCATTAATGCTATAGCGAAGATTTTATAATGCCATTGTGTGTTATTTATGGTGACACATGCGACGTTGCCGGATCCTCACATAAATCTGAGTTTGTCATACAATTTTATAGAGGGCATTAATGCTATATCGACGATTTTATAATGCCATTGTGTGTTATTTATGGTGACACATGCGACGTTGAAAAATGAATAATGAAAAATGAATGAAAAATGCAAAATGAAAAATGAAAAATGAAATATGAAGAATGAAAAATGAAAAATAAAATATGAAAAACGAAAAACAAAAAACGAAAAACGGAAAACGGAAATCGTCAGCAGATTTAAATAAGGTGAAAATAAAAAATCAAAAAATCAAAAAATCAAAAAATCAAAAAATCAAAAAATCAAAAAATCAAAAAATCAAAAAATCAAAAAATCAAAAAATCAAAAAATCAAAAAATCAAAAAATCAAAAAATCAAAAAGTCAAAAAATCAAAAAATCAAAAAATCAAAAAATCAAAAAATCAAAAAATCAAAAAATCAAAAAATCAAAAAATCAAAAAATCAAAAAATCAAAAAATCAAAAAATCAAAAAATCAAAAAATCAAAAAATCAAAAAATCAAAAAATCAAAAAATCAAAAAATCAAAAAATCAAAAAATCAAAAAATCAAAAAATCTAAAAATCTAAAAATCTAAAAATCTAAAAATCTAAAAATCTAAAAATCGAAAAATCGAAAAATCGAAAAATCGAAAAATCGAAAAATTAAAAATTACCAGACCAGACACCAGACACCAGATACCAGACACCAGATAGCAGACACCAGATACCAGATACCAGACACCAGATACCAGATACCAGACATCAGATACCAGATACCAGATACCAGACACCAGATACCAGATACCAGATACCAGATGCCAGACACCAGATACCAGACACCAGATACCAGATACCAGGCACTAGATACCAGATACCAGACACCAGATACCAGACAACAGATACCAGATACCAGATAAAGCGATAACAGATACCAAATACCAGACACCAGACACCAGATACCAGATACGAGATAACAGATCAAAGATGCCAAAGGATAAAAAACGATTAGAGATAGGGATAAAGTATATATCGCTAGCATTGCATTAGCATACCAGCAACTGCGCTACGGGTGGTTTTAAATAAAGACATCAACGGACAATATTTAGCATAGCGTTGGCATGCTAAAAACTGCGCTAGTCGATAATATTAAGCGGTGATCTTTTGTTCGATTTGGTAGTAATAGGTATAATTGGTAAGGGTTCGGAAATTGTCGTATGACGTCGACGCGGTTTTTCCGTTTTTTTCCCCGGTTCGCGAAACGTTCGGAAGGAAAGCGATACCGTTTCGGAAAGTAGAAACTCGGCGCTTTACCGGGAAGCGGGAGCCGTCGCGGTGAGAGGAACGGATCGGATCGAAAACGGCCGGTAAAGTCGAAAAAACCGGTAGATTTTCGTTCTGTCCGACGTTCAACATAGGTTTCCGCCGAAGACAAAGGA